ATCGTCACGGCCATCTTGGTGACAAAAAACGAGTAAGCAAACCGTATTCTTCTTTGCACTTTCCTAATGTCTTGACAATTGCTAGCTTGTTCAAATATCTTAATTGTGCAATTAATGTAGTCAGTGCGTAAAATTATCTTATCCCAAAAGTGAAAATGTCTGACAGAATCTTTCATCTTTTTATACATTCACATTAAACGCATATGCCATCACGGCTTGCCATTCCATTTTTGAAGTAATGACTGGTCTACTCACGACCCTTATACGAAATTAAGTTTCAAACATGTCAGGTAAAAGAAAACACTCGAACTCTTTTATAATCAGACTTATCTTTTCAAATTCGTTTATGCTATTTACTAATATTTGAAAAGTGTTATCAAGGTCCAAACTTATCCTGCCTTTTTTATGTCCTTTTCATACTTAGATGTGGCCAGGAAGTACCTACTCTGATTCTGACCTTTCGGACCTCTCACCCATGTATCATATCGAATTCAAACAGGGTCCAGTCATTGCCGATCACGGTATTAAATCTTTGTCAGTTATCTTCTTATGATTAACGTTATAAAATTGGAGCTTTATAATTACGTCTGTTATTGTATCTTGCCAAATTAACTTTGGCTGAAGGAGTAAATATTTTGGAAAATATCGTCGGTGTCCTTTTATACATGAATGCGCTAATAATTAAAATAACCAAATTTTACTGTTATTCATTTCCATCACCCTCTCCATTATTAACTGTAGAAAAAAAATCATACTTTATTATACAGCTCTTTCAAATATGAAATAAGAAACCAAATGTTCGTTATGTTCAGATATCATTAATATAAATTGGCTCTCCCCAAAATTATCGCCATCCTAGTCAACGCATATATCTCGCTTCAAAAAAATTTAAAAAATAAAATGATGACTAACAAGATGAAATATCAGTTATTTTTGGGTTTCAATGAATCTTGTGTCAATAATTTTAAAAAATAGATTTATGGTTAACTTGAAGGATATATTATATGAATGCCAACAAGTGAAACAAATGTCCTCTGCATGTTTTCTTTCTGTCTAATTTGTTGCGTAATATTATGGTACTCTCATGTACTATTCATAATCAATGAAGATAAATAGTTTCTCTTATTATTTCAACATCATGACAGCATTCTCACAAATAGGTACACACATCTACATTTTTCAAACACGTAAGTCATAAACTTCTACAATATCACATTCATCATACGTCACAATGAAACTGTCATTATTCCTGTTGAATCTGATCATGAGCGGATACATAGTTTCTTCTTTCTTTGATATGAGGGTCTTAATTAGCTTCCCTTCTGCTGATATCTGCTGGACGCAGTGTGACGAAAATCCACACAAATAAATATTTCCCTCTCTATCAGTGTCGATACCTGCTGGACCTGACAAGTTCTGATTCATGTAGGTGAACAGTACATTCCAAGTCATATCGTGGGCTAAAAGTTTATTCCCAGCATGATACGTTATGTATACGGCTGACTTAGTCTTATCCTGTTTGATAAAAACCGGTCCAATAAGTTGGTCATTTTCATAACTATTCTCTCGGACGGACCTGATCTCCTTTCCATGCATGTCTAGTATTAGGACTTGATGTTCATCCCTATTTGTAGTAACCACAAATTGGTCATTCACTACTGCTATACCCCAACACTGGAGCCTCGATCTTATCTCTCTGATCTTCAGAAGTTTGTCCTTGATTCCTATGATCTGGATTGTTTTCTGATATGGAATCCTCACGGCCACCTCGGTGTCCGATAACGCGCAAGCACACCTGGGTTTAGCTTGTAATGTCATACTATCCTGGTATTTATAATCTTGACCAAACATCTTAATTTTGGAATTTCCATAGTCAGTTAATAGTATTCTGCTATCCATTAAGTGCAAAATATCTGATATGAAACACAAATTTGTATCTGGCGATACTTTCACGTTAAACTCTGACACCTTCACAGCTTTCCTTTCATTTAGTGGAGTTCTTACAGTTCCACTCCCGGTGTCTCTTTGAAACTGTGTTTCAAAAGCGCCTGGGAAAGGTGAACAATCGAATTCTTTGAAAATCAGATTGACATTCCCATGCTCGTTGTTGGTATTCACGAATGTCTGAAAAGTTTTATCAGCATCAAAAGTCATTCTGACTTCTTTAATGTCCTTTTGATACTCAGAAATGGCTCGAAAGTACCTGGGTTGATTTTGATCCATATTGTGTACCATAATGAACTTCTGGACCTCTGACCCATGGATCATAAGGAGTTCAAGTTTGGTCCGATCACTGCCGATAGCGGTAATTAAACTTTTTCCCTTGGCTTCATGGGTTAGAAGGTTTAAATTTTCAGACTTGTAATTGCTTTCTAGTGATGCAATGACATTATCTTCAAGTGCCTGTATCTTTGCAATAAGTTGGGCCTTGAGGGAGTGAATATGTTCCAAAATGTCTGTCTTATCTTTTTGAATGGCATCTGCGAGTATTTTGATCTTATGTACTATGTGCTTTAAATGTTCCTCAAATTTGCATAGATTCTCATCCAGTTCTTTTGATCTCTTTTTATCATCAAAAGACTTGAGCATGTCCTCGATCATGAGAACTTGATCGCATTTCCGATGTTCCAGAAATCCACAAGTATTACAGCACATTATTTTGTGATCACCGCAGTAGAATTTGATACTTTCACCAGAATGCCTGGGGCATATTTCCATGGCGGATAGATCCGGTATCACTGAATAAGACTGATCGTCTTCACTGAGGTTTACGACCACATGCCGACGTAATGAAGGGAATCCGTCATGATAGCGTCTACATGTCTTGCACATGTATTGGAAACAGTCCTTACATAAGCATATTGCTAATGATTCTTTTTCCTGCTCTACACACTGCCCACAAACTTTTCGTGCCTTTATTCCCACTTGGACATCAAATAACGAAGACACAATGAAGTTTACTGGTAATGATTCCGCCCATTGTTCGTTGTTTATATTAGGACCATATGAACATGTATCCGCTCTGCACACCGGACATGGAAAACGTGGCTGGGGAGTTCCACTGATGGTCACCGTGTTGCTTATATGTGACTGCAGACACGAAGCGCAATATGTATGTCCACAAGGAAGAACTTTGGGTCTTTTGAACGTCTCCAAACAAATCGGACACTGTAAAATTTGTGAGAATCGTGCCTCAGCTTGTAAAGTGGTCGCCATTTTGCTCTTGTTTATTCACCGGTTTATTTTATACATGCACAGATATTATGTATTATCTTCTACCTGCAATTATCTGCCCTACTTAACGACGTCGTTTATGAATAGCTCACACACAGCCAGGTAGAAACCTGTGCACCGTCTATATATTTAATAGACGATAAGATACATAGAGGAGGCTTATACTGGCCTGTTAAATAGCACATATTGGCTGATAGTAGAAACCAGATAATGCTAAATACAACAAATATTGGAATTCTCAGGAAAATAATACGGCCATGGTCTTGACGTGTCGCTTGTGCATACAATACGTTAATGTATACACCTGGCAAGCGCAATCTAATGCATATAATGTTCTATATTTGTCGGTATTAAAATTTACATATCCTAGATTATCGCGTTCGTTCGAGAATTAAATATCACTGATGGTTGACATAGGGCGAAGGTTGGAATGGTGTATGTGAACAATCTACTATCATTACATTCGTAATTACTGAGTTGATATTTATCTGTGTTCTCAAACTCTGCCACTACTAGACTTCATCATTAAAAACAATGAGGTAGTAAAGTGTGCATTAAATAATTTCCAATATCTATCATAATTTAAATCGACCTCTAAATACAGATAATAACTCAAGAATTATTAGACATCAAATTTTATACAAAAATAAAGTGTCTATTTATTGAATATATTTAATAGATGTTGTCAAACTGTCATAAATATTATTTACAATACCTTGACCTAACTGTTAGAACTCTTAATTAACATTTTAACTCATCTTTCGAAAAGCTGCGATCTATTAATGATAGAGTCAATCTATCTTGGGAAGTTTATTTTACTCATCTATATCCCAAATCTCATTTTCTCCGTTTTCGATTTCTTCTTTTCCCCACTTTTGTTTCCTTTTTCCCTTTTATACTTTCTTTCTTCTTACTTCTATTTCCTTCCTTCCCAGTTTTCTCACCTGTCCTCTCGTTATTATTCTTTTGGTTGTGCTTGTACTGGCAAGTTCTTTAAAGAGTCAATGCAATCCCATAGATAACTCGGAGATTTTTCTGTTTTGAATCTATTTTCACCGAACCTGGTTCTTTTTTCATAGAAGATAGTGGCTGATGAATATTGCACTTCGATTTCGCTAGTGTTATGCCGAATTAAATGAAATGTTCAGCGACAACTATGATTTTTTCGCTTATGTGTTAGAATCTGCCACACATTCTTGTTAGAGACTTAGTCTACTAATCTGATTTGTTTCTCCTGATCCCTTTAGATTAGATCTTTGTGCGTCAAGATAATCAACGCCGAATGCACAGAAACCCCTTCATTGTCTCAGGTATTAACTAAGCTAAGAAGAAAGTATTATGTCTCGTTGTAGCATTTGGCAGCTGGACATTGCATAATTCCTGTGTAGGAACTCATGATCTGTCTAACAGATTTAAACGAATGCGCAATTTATCTAGACATAACATTCCCATGCGAACAAGAGTTCGTCACAAACTCAATACGCCGTTTGTGGGTAAATGGTTTTAAAATTGCCTTTAAAGCTTCAAAAGATGTTATGTGATCTGATTATGATTTTTAACGTAGCTTTAACAATTTTTCAGTCATATAGATACGATGTCTGCAGTGTGGCAGTTTATAATGATGTCTAGCACTGGGGCATCATGCCGAAGACCTGTAGCATGATGTCCCACCAATTCACATTATCCTGACACCAGTCCGACCAGTCCAAACACTAACCACTTAAAGCTGAGGATCAAGCGATGCAACTGTTAGTACCACTTTTGCATGTCTTTGGTATGACTCGACCGGGGATCAAACCTACGACCACCCGCATCCGAGGCGGACGATCTAATCACTAAGCCACAAGGACCGGTAAAGCTTCAGAAGAAAGTGCGTGTATGTTATTCATTATGAAAAATTATCAATCTTACATTAAGAAACCATCAATTGTATTCTTAATTGGTGAATTGTCCAGTAAATATACATAAAATAGTGGTTATATTTTAGCACCAAACTAGATAGATATTTCGCATAACAATACCTAGCGAAGGAGCTGATTAACATCATGCTAAAACTGTACAGAGCGATTGCAACAAAACAAAGAAGTATTAATTAAAAGCTGCAGAAAATTAGGTGATCATTTATACACAAATAGTTTAGTTATTTACTTGTGATAAGCAGCTTAGGTTTTTCGTTTAGTTTTGTCGACGTTTCTCGATTGTCGTTAGAAACACGTGTAGTTTAAAAGCAAAGATGCAAAAATTTGTTTTTTTAATCTCTACTTCACTGTGACTTAACTTGCGCCGAGGTATGAACATAGGCAGATAATGTTAAATAACTGACAGTAAGAGTGGCAAGATCCAAATGAGGACTAGGATTAGTATCTTTCAATATTCAAGAGTATTGAGATAATGTATCGTATCCGACGTTTTGCACATAACAGCAGGATTGTGGTTTAACACATACACTCATAAAAGCACATAGTTAAATCACGTGGAAAGGAACGTAAGCTTTACTTGATTTGAAAATTATTGAGTAGTTTATCTTTACTAGAAGCGTTTGGTGGCTTTTCTGTTTGAACAGAAAAGTATGATCTTGACATCATCACATGTTACTGTCTCAACCACTTTCCAAGGCGAAGTCCAACTTTTCTCTTTGCTGTTTTAGTAGTAGCAGCTGCTGCTTGCTTCCCAGATGTGGCTGTGGAAGTTTTAGAAGTCTTGAAGCCTGAATATATATTTTAGCCACGTTAGTCTAATACATTTGTCGCAGTCACATAAACTCCGCTACAGTGTCTTGTTACACATGTACATAGTTTAATTTTCGACTCTTCCTTCCGTCGCTTATGTTTCAGTGTTTTATGTCGCTTATGATTTCAATGTTTTTCTTTTCTCTTTCGCATCTTCTCGTAATGTTTTGTTCAACACCTTGTTGTTGTTGAATAAATGTTTTCTCTGGTTATTTCTATTGATGCAATAATTATTCTCCAATTTTTCCTTATGTTTCTTTCTTAAATCATCTATCAGCGATAACGATGGAAAAGGCGGCGATGAAGATATTCTTTCAGAAAGTACCAAAAATCACTCAACTCTAAATTAAAAGGAGTACAGTTTACAGCTGTAGGTTTCGTACTGTCAATTTGAGCAAACGACGTATCCATAGTATGAACATCACAATATATTGTCTTCATCGTTTCAGTGATAGATATAGAATATAAGCTGTTCCACAATGATAAATGGAGGGATCATCAGTGGAATGTAACGGAAAAAATACTGGATAATTACAGCATCATGGAATTGTTAATAGTACCAATATGACTGCGGTTTGAACCAGCGACGATGTTTCTGCTTGATCATTCTGATAGCAGTTTCGCCTCTTAAATCATTGTACCCTTCACCCGCTTGAAATATACTGCCGCCAATCTTTCTTAGGAATAACTTGATGTCGATGTCGATGTTACGTCGATGTTATGTCGATAAAACCGTAAGAAGAACCCTTCAGGTTAGTTATTAGGGGGAACACGAATGCAAACGACAAACCGGGTTGGCAAAGAAAGACATTCAATTATTTTCAATATGAAGTTTAAAGTTGATTTTTATGCTTGAGGGATACCTAAATCTCTCTTTGTACGTATACATACATACATACATACATACATACATACATACATACATACATACATACATACATACATACATACATACATACATACATACATACATACATACATACATACATACATACATACATACATACATACATACATACATCCATCCATCCATCCATCCATCCATCCATACATACATACATACATACATACATACATACATACATACATACATACATACATACATCCATACATACATCCATACATCCATCCATCCATCCATACATACATACATACATACATACATACATACATACATACATACATACATACATACATACATACATACATACATACATACATACATACATACATACATACATGCATACATGTATACATACTAACGGGATAAGTTTTGATGATCGTATCAACCTGTTTGTTTCAACATAAAAAAGGAAATGAGAAATGTCCGGCTTGATCTGAAAACCATTGTGTGATCAGCTTTTCCAGAGAGAGAGAGAGAGAGAGAGAGAGAGAGAGAGAGAGAGAGAGAGAGAGAGAGAGAGAGAGAGAGAGAGAGAGAGAGAGAGAGAGAGAGAGAGAGAGAGAGAGAGAGAGAGAGAGAGAGAGAGAGAGAGAGAGAGAGAGAGAGAGAGAGATCCGAATACATCATTTAGTCGGTACATTAGAAAAAAAGATCATTAAGTGTGAGAAAAGAATTTATATTTAGCTTAAACACTACATTTTCACTGGTGAGCACATCGGAGTGCATCCATAATGTATCTCGACAGTTATATGTTGTAAAAAAAACTTTATTGGTGCTTTGATTATGTCGGTGTAATCATCTGGAATATGTTGGATAAATCACCTCTAGTATCAAATAGATATAAACAAAATGGCATTTGCATCAAGATGAAAACCGCAAAATCAATTATCTTGATATTGACATTTTTTAATGCATGCAAAATATAATTATAGAATCAAAAGATTAAAATAAACGACTCATAAAATCAGTATCACAAAATATAGTAAATAAAATTCCTTTGCTTGAAACATTAGAAAAAAACAAATTTTTGCTGAAAATTCGATTTCGTTTGACGATGACACCGCGGTCGTTTAGCGTGCATTGAGTTGGACTCATGAGCACGTATTCGTGGTCTTGATTTCCACCATCTGATTAGTTGTTATTGGCTAACAAGTTTACCATGGTGTAAAATTTGTAAAAGATCTATTTTCCGTTTACCTTGGCTAGTCATAGCTTATGTGGTGATGCTGTGCCCTAACCACACACCGAAAGTAAAAGCAGTCCACAAAACACATGAAATAAATCAATCAAAAAGTGTTTACTTAATTCAAGTTTTCTTTAAGTTGTATTATGAACCAGCATATTCACGAAATTACTGATAAACATATTGATTATATAACCACATGCTGCATAGGTATGTCCATTTATGCTTAGTATTATTATATTTATGTATCAAGCTAATATGCAAAATTAAAATATTTTAGGAATATTAGAATTTGAATAATTAAAAAATTATCGTAAAAGATAATTCATGTCCCAAATGATAGGAGATACTAATGGGTAGAACTTAACGTATGCATTCAATATACTATTTTTACAAATGTTACAACCAAAGAGGTTTAGCTCCGTTTGCAAATATATTGAATTTGATTATTAAAGAAAACTTGCAAAATATGATAGATTTATTTTCAGTTTGATAATTTTCTGATGACATAATATAGTCATTATTTGCGACGTGTCCATGAAAATAAAAGGAGTAAATAATATACTTCAATGTGTTGATTCACTACAGTTTGTAATCAAGCTAGAACAGTTCTGCAAATAATATATTAATTAGTTTTGGAATGAAAGAAAGCTGATCGATTTGTTAAGGACTGAAGATACACGTGCAGATATAAGTGCAAAGTTGTCTGGGTTTTTCAAAGGAAAGCTTTACACATGAGACACAAGAAAGCAACAAAAAGTTTAGGAAAAAAAATAAATGAAAATCAAACGGAGATAAATAGATAAAACTATAAATGATGCAAACCTCAACAAACAAATCAAAACAAAAATTAAACCATTCAAAGTGTTTTTCTTTTAAAATCAAGTTTGCAATGATGTTTTACATTGTAATAGGAATATGTAAATATATATAAAATTATTATTACTACATACGTATGTGATCGTATGTTCCGTGTGATTATTTTCATGTATCGAATTATTAAGCACGTTTGAATTGTTTGAGAGACATTGCAATTGGAATAATTCTAAAATTATTGTAATACATCAATCATATTCCATATGATAGACGAAAGTCTGATGTACGAATAAAACACAAAATATTTACAGATTCTTGAGTCAAAGAGTTAAGTTTGATTTTCGGGCAAAACGATACTGGTTATTTAAGACAAGATGGAAAATGTGATATTATGCTCTCTCAGTTATATTTTGCTTTCAGTCTTTTTCATTTTCTTATTGTGTAGTATAGCATAATATTATAGTACATGTCTTGAAGTTATTTCCATACTTATTGTAAACTGTGGGTTGAGTATGCAATATATCGTTATGACTGAATAGGAAATCTTGAATGATCTCCATGTATGTGAACTTATAATTGAGTGTACAAACTACTGTTAGACATTACAGTTAACATTATTACTTACATGAAAGTTACTTGAAGTGATTAGAATATTTATTTCCAAACATAAGGTCAGTTAGATATGCCACCCCTACCCCACCAGCGAAAATCTGAAATGCAGTATAAGACGATGTGAAATCTAAACATGCATATAGGTATGACTAAGTGTACAAAAAACAATTATACATTATTGTTAACATCACCATTAGAATGTGTAGTAATATCAACATATTTGTACATATTCTTCTTACAACTAAGAATTTAAAGTATTAATACTATGTATAATCAATCATCAAAAAAAACAAACAAAATTGATTTGAACAAAAATATGCTGATCCTAGGAAACACATATAGTTGTTTCATAAATTACAACTTTTAAATAAAAAGCTGACTTAAATATCCTGAAAAAGTAAATATTATTGAGAAGGATTGGATGAATCTGCAATTAATAAGTTAAACATTACAGATTAGTAGCTTCAGTTGTAATTTTATCAAATCACATGTGTTTCTTGTGCTCGATGTATGAGAATTAAATGTTTAAAAGACTATTAAACAGAACAAATACAAAGGAATGAATGATTGAATATAATCCCATTTATTATTTCTGTCTAAGAGCGA